TAATTTTTTTTTAGTGCGAACTGCTAATTATCGTTCTGGAATAGTTTTGATTCGGTTAAAAAGACACATTGGGGGTGATACCAGAACTGTTCTAAATAAACCAATCAAATTTTAATAACTGCACATGATCGAACTATAGCGAACTGTGGTCAAAAACAACCCCTATTAAAAAAAAAACTTTGTTCACCAGGTAATGATACAATGATAGTAACCTTTATTTTTTTCCTATAGACAAGATTAAATACTTTCATAAATGGTCAGGCATTCAAAACCAGTGGAACAGAACTGATGCATACCCAAAAAAGCTCATTTTTTCCAGTGATCATTCACATTGTAAGTAAAACAAACTTATAAATACGACAAGTTACTGACTAGTCTTTCGGAGTGACGTTTGCAGTTAGAGCTTCATTACACTCTAGCCGATTATCTATGGATTTAGCTTTGTTTATTTTTCAGATCATGGAAGGTTATTACAGTTGATTGAGCATTTGCAGTAAATCACTTCATGAAGCACTTTTGAACTGTCATCAGAGTTCAATGTTGTTCTCGAAATATTCTTTTTTCGATTTCTGATTTTTTGTTAGCCAGATTGTAAATTTCAGTCAACTCAGGGTACTTACACTTTCATAATAATGCCAAAATCAAGGGCGGAATCGCATTTCTTTTCGATTGTTCTTGAAAAAACACCCTTTACAGGTTTTTTTATAAGTATTCATGTTCAGACTTGACCTTGGATAATTTGACATATACTACTGTTTTTACGAATTTTCATATTTCTAGTTGGGGGAAAGACAATTAGAATTGATACGTCACTCATAACCTCAACGTCAGATACATCGTCACGATGTCTCACGTGTTGCGTATACTCATGTGAAAACTTTGGGATTTGATTGGTCACTTGATAATGTGACGCAGTGGCCAAGAAGTTGTGTGTTCCGCAGGTGGAATTCATGTGGAAGTGACGTCACGCCAGTCCATATACCGTGCGTTCTACTAAGCGCTACTCTATGCTTTTCAATTTCTTGTCCCACATCTTGACATGGATCGTTGTGAGCTTGCTGTGAGCATAAGTGACGTTTTCTCCGCGACTAAGACAACCAAGGCTAAAGGAGCATTTTATTCGTTGTGAGCGCTACGCGGAACCCTGGATAAAGGGTTCTAAGGTTGTTTCTAAGAAGGAAAACTGTAAATTTATCTCCAGAAAAAGAATATATTTTCAACAATAAGTGCCAGATTCATACAAAATACTGTAGATTTGAAAATTTGTATATATTATTCAAAAAGTTTTGTGGTACTCATTATTGAATCGAACACTCGCAGAGGTGAAGAGCTTTTGGAAATTGCGGTTGAAATTTGTGTGCACCATGTTTCACCTTTTGGTTTTGCACTATTATTCATCTCTTATATTTCGAATCAATTTTTGTAATGTCGTGAGTTTAAAAATAAATTCGTATGCTTATCCTTTTACCATTCGAAGTGCCATTTTGATGAGCAAATGCTGTACGTGCGTATGTGTATAAACAGTATATCAACAATGTGAGTCTTTATCATGTGCACACATTAAAATGTCACATTCCATACCTAATTTCAATAAAGGAAAAACGATTAAAGTTTTTTATTATTTTTCACAAAATTCAAATGATAAACTGCTGTAAAAATCATACGTAACATAAAAGTGACCGAGGTACTTAATTGTAGATCCACCGAACAACATTTTGGAACATATCTTCAACAGTAAAATGTCACATGTCAAAGTCAACATGTAGAAATTTTAAATATTTTGAAATTGTTTATATACATTTTTTTGAAACTATCATAACTATGATTCACGAATGTCTGTTCAATCTTTGGAACAACCCAGATGGAGCAGACTTATCGGATAACCACAATGTAACGTATATAATCCATTAAAAATTATTTATTTAAGAATGAATGATTTTCAGTGGACCCACCTGATGGAATTGCAAGAATTTCTCCATCCAGGGGAACAGAAGCTGTTGCAAATGATTGTCGAGATTGCTGTGGATTTTCATAAGATATCAAGTTTCAATCGGACAGTACTAACCCAAACACCTAGTCCAGAAGGTAGCTAATCTATTAATGAATTGAAATTTAAACTTATATACTGCCAAATGTTTCAAATAATAAGCAAACTGCAACTTTGTATTCAAAACATACCTGATGTATTAATAAGATCCCATTTCTGTATATCACCCCAAATTCAATTGCAAATTATTTATATCATTCACCCATTTTTTCTGGAAGTTTCAAATCAGTTCCATTAATTACAGAATAATGATGTCTGAAATAGTGTGTGTACTAAGTCTTCATATTTAAGTANATGATGTCTGAAATAGTGTGTATACTAAGTCTTCATATTTAAGTAGTAAAATAATAAATGTATTTATATCAAGGGATGCTCAGTTAAATATCTTCAAGGTCTCTCCTCGTCATCCAGCAAGACCCTATTGCTGTCTCAAACCAAAGCCTCGGAAAATACTACAAGGATCCCCACAGGTCTGTACATCACGGCGTTTTGTAGCGGAGTTCACAAAGTTTTAGAGGGTTACAGAAACGAAACGATAAAATTGGAAAACATGTTTTTACAAAACCCACACCTGTCTCTGACTTGTATTCTCAGCTCTCTGGAAAAATATCGCAGCTTGTTCCAAGTGCTGCTGTCCATGATCCAGGTAATACAGAACGATAACGTACACGGGTGTCTGTTGATTGGCAGATTGCATAAGCATGTAAATTGTGGAGTGGATCAAATAGGCAAAGCTGCTGATCAGTGAGTATACGATGCAGGGATTCTCATACATATTGGGCCATTGTTGAAATAGTTGGAATAATCTTAATAAACAGTGAAATATGACAAACCTGTGAGCAATTTCCTTGCACAAGTAAAATTTTGATATACAATAACTTATCCAACCAAACACTTGCTATACAATAATTTTCTCAAACAAGCAAAATTTTGATATACACTAGCTTTGTCAGGCCCAATTTTTATATACAATGGCTATTCAACAAAATTCTGCTATATAATAGCTTTCATGATCAAAAGTTTACTATTCAATAGCTTACTCAAGCAAAATTTTTATGTACAATAGCTGTCTGAAGCAAAGTTTTCTATACAATAGCTGCCTCAAACAAAATTTTGATATACATTAACTCCCAAGCAAAATGTTGATGTACGTTAGCTTTCTGGGGCACAATTTTGATATACAATAGCTATTCAAGCAAAATTCTGCTATATAATAGCTTTCATGAGTAAAAGTTTACCATACAATAGCTCACTCAAGCAAAATTTTTATGTACAATAGCTTTCTGAAGCAAAGTTTGCTATACAATAGCTGTCTCAAACAAAGTTTTGATATACATTAACTCCCAAACAAAATTTTGATGTACATTAGCTTTCTCAGGCACAATTTTGATATACACTATCTATTCAAGCAAAATTCTGCTATATAATAGCTTTCATGAGCAAAAGTTTACTATACAATAGCTTACTCAAGCAAAATTTTTATGTACAATAGCTTTCTCAAGCAAAGTTTGCTATACAATAGCTGTCTCAAACAAAATTTTGATGTACAATAACTTACTTGAGCAACATTTCACTGTACAATAGCATTCTCAAGCAAAGTTTTGACATACCATAGCTTACTTTAGCAACATTTTGCTATACAATAGTTTTCTCTAGCAGAATTTTGCTATAAAAATGCTTTCTTAAGCTATATTGTTTATCAAAATACGTGTAGTTGTAAGTATCATTCTCGTATTTTGTTCCTGCAGATTCAAAACGAAATAGGCCAGATGATCTTGTTTCATTTGCAGGTACTTCAAAATCATGTAAATATTTGAAATCACATCCATCTATCTTTGATAGTCGCCCATATTATTGATCCAGAACACATTTCCTCATTATCATTCAGTTATTTTCAGAATAATCAGATCCATCAACAAGATTTTCTACAGACATTTATGTAACTGGATAATATACGGAGATTTGGTAGACACCTATGGTGAATTCTTTATAACAGATGGCAAAACCGCTGATGAGAATTTTCTCTATCCCGAACAATTGGTTGACTTGTCTTCAGATAGCAGTACAAAACTAGGACTAATCGTGAGTTTAAAAATTCATATGCTTATCATTTTACCATTTGAAGCGCCATCTACATGAGCAAATGCTGATCAATGCTGTGCATGTGTAACATTAAAATGTCATACTCCAGATAAATAATAATATTTTCTAGAAACATAAAAAGCAACCCCTCATCAGTCATTCTCAAGAAAAATGGATTTTGTTTTAGAAAAAAAGCAGAATACGAAGCCCTCCTATCGTCCGTAAATTTTTCATCAACTGGGAAATGGTTCCTCTGTTCATAAGCGACGAAACAGCCGAAAGCATTCTGTTTATGGGCAGGATTGTTTGGATTGTTAAAAACGATCCGAAAAAATCTCGCGATGAAAACTATCGCATCAAATACGAGAGAGATATCTGGGAGGGTAAGGAGACCGACTACTATAGGAAGGTACAAGGGTTGGAATCTCAGACCTTCAACAATATTGAATTTCAGAGCACTATTGAGGAATGCCGGGTCAAGCTCACAAAGGTAACATCAAAGAACGTTTTTAATTAAATTATTATTTATTATTATCGAAATCTTGGGATACACAGGCATCTGCAGTTGATGTAGTTTCAAAAATTCTAATTAAAATTAGCCATAATAAATGTGATTTCCTTTCTGTAAAGCAATTGATGCTACTGTATTGAAATATTGATCTTGAAACTTAATAATTTTGACACCAGGTATCGTATACAGATTATTCAAGTTATAATAACAATATAATAATAGAATTTATTCATCAATCATGGATTATACAAGGCATCACTCTACAGATTGAGAAGTGTCTGCCTGGACATGATGAAGTCATACCTTAACGAAAGATATCAAATTGTTGATCTAGGAAATACCAAAAGTGAAAAAAGGAAAATATTAAGAGGAGTGCCACAAGGGTCAATATTGTGACCACTTCTGTTTCTAATCTACATTGACGACCTGCCTCACGTGATGAACTCGTCAGACATAGAAACTATATTGTATGCAGATGATGCAACCTTGGGCAAAAAAATATATAAAATAGATGATCCTCACATGATTCATACTGACATATTAGAGAAAGCTCGATCATGGTTCACACCAAATGACTTGATTCTCAATGAACAAAACACAGAAACTCTTAGCTTTTGAAACAATTTGCTTAAATCGATATAATGAAAATTCTACCAAATTTTTGGGAGTACAAATAGATTCCAACCTGAAATGGATATACCATGTGAATAGCATGTGTAGTAAACTTAGTAAGTTGCTATGAGAAGAATTTAAAAAATAGTCAATCAAAGTGCGGCACTTGCAACATATCATTCACTTTTTCATTCAGTCCTTAGGTATGGTATAAACAATTGGAATAATGCATCAAAGGTACGTCTTAATAGAATATTTGTCATTCAAAAATCTGCAGTAAGAAGCGTAGTCTCTGCCATTTATGATGAAAAGTATCGACCAATATTTGTAAAACTTGAAATAATGACCCTATATTCAGTTATTGTCTATGAAAATCTGCTTCTTGTTCAACGAAACTTGATGAATAAAGTTGCTCACAAGGATATACACCAACATGATACAAGAAATAAATCAAATAGGTTGAAAAGAACAGATAATATAGGAATTGAGCTATACAATGCCTTATCTGTCGAATTTTGTAACTTGCCATTCAGAAGATTCAAAAACTTATTGAAGAAAATATTAACCAAACATCCTTTATATGAAATTGATCAATTTTTCGAAGTTATTAAAGAAGATAGAGCCACTTTTGTGGTGACCTCCGGAATTTTTACTCAACTTTGAATATATATAATATGTTAGCTATGTGATTTATAATTTGTAAAAGCTAATGGCTTTACATTTTAGTCAATTTTTATGAGATTGGAATTTCACCTTGTTAAATTGTATTTTTTTTAATCTAATTTATCTACAAGCATTTTTTAGAAACTATATTGAGGAATCTTATCCTCTCAAACCTATTTTAGAAATTGTATTGATGTGTCTAAAAACTGTGTGTTTCTTGGTACTGACAAAAATTATTATTATTATGCATGACAATGTTTTGGAGCTATAGTTGTTTAAACGCTAAATAAACCATGGCATTGAACAAATATTGAATGCTATCTGCTACTCATCATTTTCAGTACTTGTGGTCCGTAATGCTAGATGAAGGCAGTTTGGTCGAACATTTGCACCTCCTCAGAGATTATTACGCCTTGGGCAGAGGGGAACTGTTTCAACAATTCATTAGAGTGGCCGAAGATCATCTGAAAGACACCACCTCAGACTCGATTGTGCAGAAGCTGAACTTCATATTCCTGGAAACTGCCAGGAAAATCTACGGGGAAAACGACAAAACCTATCTCAAGTTTGAGCTAACCTCAAATTCAGACGTTACACGTAAGGACAAATTTACGTACTATTTTCGACAGATTGCTCGTGTGAAATGGTCCGGGAATGGTGCCTTGTGGCACAAACTCATATTGTCAGTTCGCTAGATAATTACTATCGTTAGTTTCAACTTCTTTCAGGAACAAATCCATGGTCTAGACTGCAGATGAACTTCGAGATCAACTGGCCTCTGCATATAGTCTTTCATCCGAAAGTGATGGAGTTGTATAATAAGCTGTTCTGCTATTTATTGAGACTGCGTAAAACACAGATAGACCTCCATAAACTTTGGGCAGAGCATGTTTCAAACAAGCAGACAATGTGAGTGAATCAAATTTTGTAATGTATCAAATAAATACAGTGTTTTTTTGAAGAGTTTCGGTAAGCAGGTAACTTTTTTTTTAGTTGTTAAAATTCACCATTATCAATGAAGAAACACTGAATTGAAAATGTGATTCGATCGTCATTTCGCTTGGTGGCTAGTTGAGTTTGTGAGAGTTTTTTTTTGTTTTTAGAGACAGAAGAGTTTGGACCCTTCGACAAAACCTTATGTTCTTGGTTAATAACCTTCAGTATTACTTGCAAGTCGATGTGATAGAGGCCCAGTTCTCTTTGTTGCTGAAAGCCGTCGAAAACGCCAACGAATTCGAAGATATAATCAAGGTTCATCACGAATTCATCACTAATTTGTTGGCAAAAACGTTTGTGTCTACACCTGATGAGGTAAGGATTACAGAGGATGAAACAGGGCTCTGAATTTCATGTGACGAGAAAAGTTCTTGGTTCTCAGAACCGGACGAAGTCAGTTATAATACATTCAATGTAATAATGGCCTCAGAATGGATCCCTGAGTGTTACCCAGGGAAATTTGTCTAGAAGTCGAGTACAGTACATCAATAGATCTTTACACATCAATTTGTGCATATGAAATACGCTGGCATAGTAAAACTACTATTGCTACATTCGATGTAACCTTTTGCTTTAATTTGGAATGCTATGAGAACCCATTTTGTGATTTTGGGTCAATTTCATGAAATTCCTCAGCACTATCAATAATAATGCCAAACATAAAAGACAGACCTTCCCAATTTGAGGTTAAAACTCTTCTCTTCTGGCTCTGCCTTTTCGGCAATTTGCCAGACTCAAACTAGTTGGGAATACAACTACCGGCCTGGATTTTGTTGTTTATCATAAAAACTATTGTATGTTGAACCATAGAAACTTCACAATAAACAGCATAAAACTGTCAAACGATAGCGATACATATTCTAATGCCGAATTCGTTCTCTGACATATGCCTATACCTCCTAGTAAAGTATTTTTATCGTGTAACTCAAAAATCCCAAAATTTTTTTCTAGGAACACATTTATGCCAATAAACACAGACTCTATCAAGTGCCAGCTGTCCAGTACGAAATACCTAGCAGGGTAAAGTTTTCGCCCAGACTATCCTGTCTCAATTTACATTTATTTTGCTTCTAGGTTTACAGCATCATAATAAGGCTGCTCGAACTCTGCGACGAATTCTGTTTGGTGGCCAGCACCTGGAATTCGGAATTAACAGAACCCGAATTGGAAGAGCTCGAAATATTTCAAAAAAGAAGCGACACAGTGATAGAATCTCTCCTTTTCATACTCCACAGGTTGCACGAAAAAGTTAGCGGACAGCATTTGTTGCAGTTGCTTTCTCAGTTAGATTTCAACAAATACTTTAGTAAAAACAAGGCTGATATTAACTCTACCACGTTCTAAATTGCATATTCATTTTTTAATAGCACTCATATTAACTTCTGAACTTGGGTTTAGCGCTGGTAACACAAGAAGAAGAAGGATGACTGCATTTGGTGTCAGCCGGCTGAAAGCCCTGACAGCCGTGGCCAGTCTAAATAAGCATGAGTTTAAGCCCAAGGGTAGTTGATAATAATCCTCAATTTGTAATAAAACTAAGATATTTTTCAATGAAAAAACAAATAATTGGCCATTTTAATAAATAAATCACAATTCCATGATAATACGTAGGTATTTTCATTTCAGTACTTCTTTTTCATAACTTTCATGAACAGCACCATATCTGAAAAAAGTTATTGATAGTAAATGATGGAAATATTGAGAAAAAAAAAGTAATGTTTCTAGTACTCACTTATAAAGATTATTACAACAATAGCTAGCATAATCCACATCCAGCACTTCCATGCTCTTTTGGAATGTTCAGCGAGTGTGACGGATTCTTTTGTAAGTTGTGCATAATTTTGCTCTGTTAGTTGAGCTGATCTACCAACTACCTGCCAATAAAACATTTTTGAAATAAGTATTGGGCTTTCATTTTAGTGTGACTTGCAAGCCACTTTTTATCCATATAGTTAAACCGAAAAAAAAAACATGTTTCATTCTGATTTTTAATGTTTCATAAAATTTTTGAACTTAAAACGACTATAAATTCCTAAAAACCCAGTGACAAATCCCTTTTTTAAATATGCTGTCCGTTAAGCCGCTTGATCTAAGGCCACAAATGATGATACTTTAGAAGAAGATTGCACAAGTATACATAATTTTGGCAGAGGTGCATAACTGAATATAAAAATACATGTTTGCTTCACTTACCTCTGTATCCTTCCTAATAATTTTATTGGCAGTTTCTGACTGTTCCTTCAAACTCTTTGCCAAGTGCAGCATATCTTCGGTGAGCTTGTTTTGAACACTTTCATGATAGTTTATCATTTGATCGAGATCGTCAACTCCAGGTTTTGACGATATTACCACGTTTCTTTGTCTTAGACCTAGAAAAAAATTCAAAACTGAAGGTTCATTTATAAATGAACAGAATGATATTATTTCCATGCCAACTTAAAATATATATGTCATTACCTTTGAAATGAACCTGAACACAGATCAAAAATAGCTTTTTTTTAATCTCACCTAGTAGACTGCTTCTCATAATTTCTGGGTCCTCTTGATCTTCATATTTATTTGTTGTGATTCCCACAGCTCTTTTGATAGCGCCGATTCTTCTATTATAATTAGCTATAGCTTCACTGGACCTTAAAATAATAAGAGAAGTTAAACGTAATTTCCATCTGGTATTTTGACATAATCAACTCACTCAGTTAAATTTTTTACTTCTTGGAGCATATCCTCCAGGGTTTCTACATATTTTTCTATCCTATCATCTTCTTTCCTAGACTTGCACATTAACTCACATTTGGCCAACAGTCTTCTTAAATTTATTTCTTGTCTTGATAAATGCATATCTGAAAAATAGAAATAAATAGTTATAGCCATAATATATGCCAATAACCTTAGTCTCAGTAATGGATAATCACAGCCATAAAAAATACCAGTATATGGATATACATATAATCACGGTAACGTCATCTGAATCACTTCCACATAAATTGATAATTAGACATCTGACAACGCTGTATCATGTTTTTATTTTGTTTTTTAGGAATGAGATAAAACAAATTATTACAAATTAACTGAGCACAATTCTTCCACGTTTTCGAATAAAATCTACGCAACGAAAAATATCTAACAAATATTTCGACTATACGTGACATATGGAATTTGGAAAACAAAAATCTAAGTTAATACAAAATAGACATGACATGAAAAATAATTTTTAATTTAGTACTCACTTTTAGTTCTTATCATATATACTGAATTTTTTCAATCTCTCCACCAAAGGAATAATTCACAAATACATGGGTTTTAACTTCTCCATTTATAAATATGCCACACATGCATCCAGTGTTGCAAATCTATGACTCTTAAGACTGTAACGGCACAGTAAATAATACATATACTGATTTTGTGGTAACGGCAACCATGAATAATAGATGTCTTACTCATCGCATTTAGTGCATGCACTGGAACAACACTGTGCCTTTAACACCAGTTCAGCTCCTAAATGAAACATAATTTTGAAGTGAATTTTGCTACGCAGGCTTTTTCAAAGGATGATATGGATATCGCTAACTAATGGATTCGTCTATCGACTCGTTAGAAGAGTTTTCGCATTTTAATTGGTTGAAGAAATTCATTCGAAATTTTCGGTTGCATTTAAAAACTTGATTATCGTTTACTAACCCTTTAACTCAACTCAAAGGTTTGAACTGTAATATATTCGGTTCTGCAACAGCCATTTTAAAGTTTTGTAACAACAGACCCCTTCGAATGGTTCTGGTATTATCAGCGGTTGGTTGTAATTGACGGCAAATCTAAGGTGTATAGTATGGTTGTGTTTCTGAATAAAATTAATGGTCTGATGATAATTACTAAAAATAACAGATTGTTGGACATCGCTGATTTTGTGTCGGAAACAGTTTTACAAAATAATTATATCACATATTGGATATGATGCAAACGATAAATATTTTCAAATTACTCCCGATGAAACATCCTGAAAGTTAATATATAAAAATATACCCTACGTTCGAGATGAGAAGGTCAGCATGGATAAGTATAAATCGTGAGAGATACAAAGTCGTTGAAATAGAAAAAAAATGTTCAGTTCAGATCTCATTTGAATGACGTTCAAAAATTTGGAAAATTTCGATTAGTGAAAATAACTTCAAAATACCCGCTAAGACACGAAACGCACACAATAAAACCCAAATAAAACCCAGTGGGTAAAAAAACTCAAAATTTGGATACAAACCCTCACATTGTCAACACTGACTAATTCTTGCACTTATTCCAATATTCTGAAACTAGCTTATACTACTAAATTTGTATATAGACTATCCACAAAGCTACTAATAATGAACAGTACTGTCGTTTAAATGGTCGAACAAAAACGTTATTGTTGGTTAGGTATGACATAGAATGAATAAAGCACAGATGCGTAAAATATTTCGTCTCTGGCTAAAGTAGAGAAAAAATAGAAGAAGAACATTTTAGCGCATCGGAAACAGGAATTCAAATTCAAAATCAAAACAAAAATTAAGATAGGGTTATATATGCCTTTTTTTTTCACAAACTCGTCCCAAAATAATACCCATAATTATTATAAAAGCTAAAATACAGGTGATATTGAAACATTGAAATGGAAGACTTAGAAAACAAATTACAGTCCACTAGCCCAAACACTGTAGTGCAAACATTTTCCAAAATTATTCAAAATATACTAGCTAAATACAAAGATGAGGTAAAAGACTTTCCAGAACTGAAGTTTCTCAAAGAAAAATCTTTGAATTGCGATCCTCTTATCAGCGAAGTCTCCGGAAGAGCGGTTGTAAAACTGGTAGAAGATAGGGTGCTTTCAATAGAACCAATTATTGCCGATTTCCTATCTGCAACATCCTCAACAAAGTGAGAACTCTAGTAGGAGACAAGATCATGTACTCTTTGATTCTTATTTCAGATGCCATTCAAGCTTGATAAATATAATGGGTGATTTGTTGTACCTCAAGTGGAAGCAAGACAATTTGAGAGGTTCCAAGTACAATCTGTATTCCCCTCAGCATCCACTGATTACCATCCTTGTTGAAAATCCGAGTTCCTGTAATTTGGTGCTCAATAAAATTAGAGGTTTGCATAGCCGGCAAAATGAGTGAGAAGCATTTTAGATTCAATTATTTTATGATGATAATAGGGAGTGTATTTGAAATTTTCCATGAGTCCCATTATTTTTTCCTCTAATAGACTTTGAATTTCGTATAATAATTGATAATCGATGACAAAAAAAGTAATTCAAAAACTTCGATTTTTTCAGGTTACCTGTAAACCAATTATTCAGACCTGTATATTTATATGGGCTGCATCATCCTTCGATTTCAATGAACTTGTTTAAATATCGTCTTTGGACTTTTTTACTCAGTCAAAAGATTTTGGAACAGACGTTGTTTTTCGATTTGTTATGTTGGTTGCAGGTACAGTTAACGTTTGATTGTTTCTGATTCAGAAGTATAACGATCAATATTTCAGATCGAAACAAGGGACCACGTAGAGTTAACTAGTGAATTAATTGATCAAGCTCTACTAGCCGAAAGCTCCAATGAGAGTTGTTTGAACGTTGATTTGCTTGTACTCTGGCAAGTTACTGTTCTGTACTACTTGGCTCTTAATAAATTGGATATGCTTCCGAATGTATATTGTTTGAAGAGGGTTTTTCAAGGAAAACTCCGTTACTTCACTACAAACTGTGTACTGTTGATATTTTCGAAAATAATTGATGTGTGTTCTCCAGTTTACCTGAAAGATGTCTTTCAACTATGTGAGTACTTTTTTTAATTTATTAGGAATCTAGTTCCATCAACGATTTTTTTTTGCTTATTTTTTTGTCATCTTTTCACCAGAAGCATTCACAAAATAATTACAAATTTGAAGAAAGTATATCATCTATCGTCTTTTGATTTGAAATATTTTCGTACACTCGTCTGGAACATATGTTCACAGTTTCAACTGTTTAGTTTGTGGGTGAGAGGCATAAAAGTTGAAAGAGTTTTACGTGTTCGGCAATTTTATGCTATCAAAAAAATGGGTCAAAGAATTTGCATATGGTGACTGTACCTACTCTGAGTCAGAAAAATGTTTACAAGTGGATTGTTTTTAATTTTTTGGCCAAAAACAATACTGTAATCATGCCTAAGCCACCGTATTCACCGGATATAGCCCCCTACGACTTTTTCCTGTTCCCAAGATTGCAGAGACCCTTGGAATTCACCTTATTTTTGGAAGCTTGACGAATAAGAAAGTATTTTCCTTGAACAATAAAGTATATTTTATCATCATCATTGTATTTTTTGTGTCATTTGTTAAATAATTTCCTTTTTTTCAATTATTTCATAATACTAGGTTGAGTGGAACCAACCATCAAGACAGACCTACACCTCCGTAACATATTCATTCATATTCAACATGACAAAATAAACCATAAAATACCCCTAAAGAAAATGGCTTGTTTGGGTTTCAATAATAATATTTTTCTAAACCTTTTGAAACCATACATGAATAATAGAAAACAGTATGTCTCATACAGTGGATTTGCTCACTAAACTATATTGCAACCAGTGGAGTCCCCCAAAGTTCCAACTTAGGGCCATTGCTATTCTTGATATTCATAAATGATCTTTTCGATGCATTTAATTGCAATAAATTGATGTTTGCAGATGATTTAAGATTATATGTTTCTGTTTCTAATTTGGATGATTGTATTATACTACAAGAACAAATTAACTCTTTACATGATTGGTGTTTGAAACATTATCTTTCCTTGAATATTTTTAATCCGATACTATTTTTTACATTCAACTCTCACGAAATGAATAAATCAGCATATCGTATATATGGTTTCAGCTTTGGAAAATGTAGGAACTTTAATATCACTGCACTAACTCTTTTCTTCAGTCTAGTAAGGTCTAAACTAAAATATGGATCATTATTATAGAATCCCATTTATAGCCAGTACTCAATAACTATTGAGAAAGCCCAAAAAAGTTTTTGAAATTTTTATGCTTCAAGGTTGATGGAGTTTATCCATTAAGAGGATCTGAATGTATAAATATACTACGCAGATTCAATTTCGTATCTTTAGCTATTGAATGGTAAAGTTGACTCTCCTGTACTATTATCACAAATAGATTTTCATGTGCCGAGATTGTAGTCTAGACAAGTGCAAAAGAGCTCAAACAAATATTACGTCTAAAGCACCAATTAATGTTATGTGTTCAAATGTTAACAAATTTTCAAATATGTGTGATATTGTTAAATGCAGTAAGAGGGAAATTAGAAATAGATCTCGAGCACATCTGGGAATCACTCATAGATGTAATCTTTTTTTCTTTTTGTGTTGTATCTATGTCATCTTTTATTTGTTGTAACTCTATTACTATACTTCATTGCTTCTGTTAGTTGAATTTCCGGTGTCACAGAATCGGCATAGTTCATCTACTTATACATACTATTTTGTCTACAAACTTTGTTAAATTTTATTTTCTATTGTTTTATTTTATCTATTAGATATGTGAACTTAGTTTTGCTCAAATTGTGTTTCTGTATTTGTATTTTTGAAGTGTTACTTTTCTTTTATTCTTTGAAGTGCTATATATACCAGATTTTTTAACAAGCTTTCTCAATAAGATTGTATTTTTTTGGACAATAAAGTATATGTCTATCTATCTATCTAATAATAAACTGAATTGATGATGTCGATCATTACTTTTTCAAGGTGAAACCGTGGTACTTCAGTCGAAAGCAGATTTTCACGTCATCCAGACGCTCAGATCTTCCCTACTGCAATGGCTAGCGAGTCCCTGCATATTAATAGAGGATGCCTACAAGATAGCTGAAAGCATTTTCAACAAAACTTGCTCTATGGATAACCGTCCACGAAACGACGATGGTTCGAATAACTTTCCAGACATTTTCCATAAAGAAATCACCTCCAACAACACTCTATTTGGTTCTGTTGAGTTGTGCCGACTATCTGGAGATTTGTACAGCGAAACAAGACTTTCCGAGTGGCTGGACAGTCTTCAGGGCTGCCCGTCTTCTTTCATCGAAGAAATATTACACTTTCTATGCGGTTTGCTACTAGTTGACGATTTCAGCCAGGAAATCTTATCGAAATCCCTCGCTCTGATACTCAACAGCGCAGAGAGGAACGTTTCTTTGACTCCCAAATTGCTCGCAATCATCCTGTACAAGTTGTCCAACACGCGGCACGCCAGGCTAAGCTTCGAGCTTTTATCGGCCCTGCCAAAGTTGGTTGTCCTCAGGGAAAATATACCTAAAATCATGTCCACGCTTCAAGCCGTCAGCAGAGGCTCTGAGAACTTGTTCAACGTCGGTTTGAAATTGATATTTGATGCCTGGAAGATCGATAGTATGTGTTACCCTTATTTGGAGGGCTTGCTGGTTGATGGGGGAGGTTTTAAGAAGAGGTGGGACAGATACGTCACCAAGAGTTACATCATCAAGCAGTTATGTCTCGAGAAGTGAGTATTTTGTCTTTATTATCTCAAGAAATATTTGTACATTTATATATTTACTTAACAATTCATTAATATTTATAGTTATTTTTTTAGCAGAAATATGTTTGTCGACAAGATGTATTTCTTATGACATTAATTTCTTGTTGCAATATAGCAGAAGTTACAACTTATACAAAATGCTTGCATGTGATTCGTATGCTATATACCATATGGTGAACATGTCACACCATTTTTATTAAAAATGAAGGAGCTGAATGTGAGGTACAGAGTCCAATATTTAATTTTTTTTTTGTTTAAGTTGCTTATATAGTTTCTTATATAGCCCCTTCTTATCTGAATGAAATTTTACCCCTTTTAAATCATAATATTCATCAATTTAAAAAAGAAATAAAATCACAGATGCTTACTGGCCAAACATAATTGATATAAACTGTCATTACTACTACTTTATAATCATTAATTTTATAACAATATATTTTTACGTTTTCTCCGTAGGTTCGACAATAATTGACCACACTGTACAATTAAACTCGACTTTATAATAATACTCTCACAACTACCCTGCCAATACCACACAAAAACTTCAGCCTAATTCTCAAATGCCTATCGCCTTATCAGCTCACTTCGTACTGCACTTTCAACTAGACTTGCCTCGTCTGCCTGTTGGCAGTGCTTCTATATCCCGATGGAAGTCTTCGCAAGCCGATAGGAATATTCTCGCAGCGACGCGACATCCAGAATGATCGAGAAGCACAAGTAGACCTTGGCAAAGTCATAGTTGATTGGCAAAGACTGGCCGCGGCTGGCGTTACTTTTTTTCAGGAGATAATTCACAACAGTATGGCTGTAGTTTTTGTAATTTACATTACTTTATAATTATATCATCTACTATTTTTAGGCCAGAGTTATATGGAGAAGAAATGGTGGCGCACTTGTCGAAAATTTTGAACGAATGTAAAGACGATAATGGGTCTCTACCAAGCGCTTTGGCTATCGATGCGGTAACCGTATTATGCAAGGCAGAAATTGTGAATGTCGTCCAGACGTGGGCCATCTTAGCGCCAATGTTCAGAAATGATCTCAGATTACCCGTCGTGAAAAGGTAAAGAAACTTACAGAAGGAGATGCACGAAAGCGTTTTAAAGTACCGGTAATCCATTTTTGAAGCACATCTTTTGGGGGTATCTTTCACGAGGATACTTCAAAACCTTTTTCAGTAGGGTAGAGGGGAAATACTGTAGAGTTGGAGGAAGATGTGCAGATGAGTGGCCTCCTCGGTCACCCGACTTGGGTACGGTAATTTTTTTTGTTGAGACTCATGAAAACGAAGTGTTTCGCACTTTGTCTGACTCTAAAGTAGACCTGCGGGGATGAATAATTCTTTGGAATAAATACTTCTACTGTAACGACTATTTTCTTAGCCTCTGCTCTCTGATCCGGGAAATCCCGCAACTGTCTTACACCGAAAGCTATATGGAACTGCACAGAGATGTCATGCATCAATTGTGGGAATACGTTGAAACAGGGGACCCAGAAATATGCGAAGCAGCCCTCAGCAGTCTCACTTCCTTCGGGCTGGAGCAGATATGTGTTCATTTGCCTGAGGAGTATTTGGACCCGAGCACTCCAACTAAAACGACGCCCACCACCCAGCACTTGGTGCCAGGTAAATATAGTAATAATAATAGTATCCTGACATCGGAATGGAAAGTTCTCGACAGTCTTGTTTCTCTCGCAGGTAAAACGTGGATAGACTTCCTTATAAAGCTGAGAGTGTCCTCAGCTTCGGTGAATTTCATCACCAAAATGATATCTATTGAAATTGATGGTTATTTGAAGTACGTCTACCAAACAAAAGGAAATAAGGAACCGCTCAACTACGGATATCTACCTAGTCATAGTGTTCTTCGAGGTCTGGGGGAGTTCATCAAAACCTGGGTGAGTTGAATTAGTTATGGCGTACCACAAGGTTCTGTGCTAGGTCCTATTCTGTTTCCCCTTATATGTTGATCACGTCACTATTGGTGTTTCTGGTGGTTTCACTCACTCATCCAAGTTACATTCGTAAAATGTGTTTTTATTCTTGAAATTTAACCTCGATGTATTCAATTAAATCCAAAACGGTTGTGCAAAACTATCCTAATCTCTAAATATGACATGTTTATTTAGATTTCGTAGAGATTGTGCTAATAATATCGAACATTTCCATTTCGCGAATTTTGGTTATCTATGTATAAAACAATATCTTCTTCTTTACAAATGAGTTCAATATTTTCAGTCGAACAAATGGAGAGGTAGCATCCATGACAAACTCTACGTAGAGTGTCTAAGAATTCTCAGCACCGAATTCAGCAAACCGTTACCTCCTTTGGATTGGTGTTTTCTCCAAGAGCTGATGCACGATCCCCAAACCAAAAAGTATTGCGTGGATTTGTCCTCGCATCAAGTGATCATATCTGGTACTGCTAGACGTCTTATGGAAAACTATATCAATGCGGTGACAGAAAAACCCATAGTAAGTAATTTTATTGGATAACTAATCTAACACCCATGAACTAGAAACAAATGCAACGGTGCACAGTTACAACACACGTCATGGTGATGTTTTGCGTATTCCAAGTCATAAGACAACAAAATATAAAAACTCCCCTTTGTATAATGTCATAAATCTGTATAATAAATTACCAGAGCCGATCAAAACACTGATTTTGCTT